TTTTTTTCATGACCTGTTTCTCAACAGTTCACGTGTACCATTCGACTACGTAGGCCGGTTTCCTATTCTGTATTCCAGCTCACTGTCGGGCTAACTAGGTGGGGGATGGTCATTCACAAATCCGGGGAGCTCGGCTTTTATTTCCGACTCGTCCCCTCCGCATGCCCTGCAGTCTTCCCCCATGCTCCGCAGGAGTTTTCCCAGTGTCCCAAGCCTGTTAACACAGGTTCAAGCAGTGCAGGGTTGGGCAATTGAGGGGCTCAAAATCGAATGGTTCGTCCTTTGCTGACACGTTTCTGGTGTACCGGTGTCCGCTCGTTCAAATCTTTTGTTTGCCCCATTGCTATCTTCTTCGGATATTATGCTTCAGGTCATTAGCCTCCGCCAATCGTCAGTAGATTGGCATCTAAGGTATCCGGTCCAGGTCCAGGTCCAGGTTCAGACATCAGCTACTTGACCTGATCCCAGGTTGAAAGAGACGTCTGTGTTCGACTTCTGTGTGTGTGTGTGTGTGTGTGTGTGTGTGTGTGTGTGTGTGTGTGTTTGTGTGTGTGTGTGTGTGTGTGGATTTGCCTGTGTCAGGGCTACTCTCTGGCTTCCAAAAAACAAAAAGAAAAAAGGGGGCTCATCTCCAGCTTCAGCAACTGTATGGCTTGCTGCCTTTGCCCGCATTAGGGCTAATCTATGGCTCCAGAAGAAAGAAAGAAACAAGGCAGAAAAAGCCTAAAAATGGGGCTCGCCTCCAGCTTCAGCAACTGTATGACTTGTTGGGTCTGCAGAGTCGCCACTTGGCGAATAAACAGAAGAAGCAAACAAGGAAGAAAAAGCCTAAAAATGGCGGTTACGGTGAAGGCACAGAAGGAGTGTAGCTAGCTATTGGCACGCTAAGCGGTTTTTTGCGAGTCCGTACACGGCTGTGTCCCTCTGAAACTTGGGCCGGGAGGTGGTGTCTCTGACTGAGTTCTCATCAGGTGTTGGATCTTCAGTACCTTCAGGAGGCGGGTGGATGAAGAAGCGCTGAGCGGGACAAGAAGGTGCTGCGCTCTGAGCAGCGCCACCCGTGTTAGGGTGGGTTGGAGTACCTGCTTTATTTTTCCCCAGGTACAAATAATATTTTGCTGGATCGGACAAAGTTGCTGGCGCTGGCCGGAGTCGGCCGTATAATCTTTTGCTGGACTCGGACGAAGCTGCTGGCACTGGTGTGAGTCGGCCGCATCATGAGTCGGCGATCGTCTCCTCTCCATCTCTGTTTCCATCAACGGTGATAGCCCTCGCTCCACCACTACGCTTGAATCGTCCGGCAATCTGAGAGCCGGTGGCGAGTGAAGCAAGGGCAAGAATCGGGGTGCCCTCGTTCTGCTATGTCCGGCAATCTGAACGGCAAGACAACTCTGGGTTTTTTTGTTGCGATCAGCGGTTTTTCTACGTGCACATGCACACTCTTTGTGTGTGTGGAGTCCTCAAGTGATGGCATTGTCGAGCAACCGAAGAACCGCTGTCGTGCAGCCGGCAGCAAGATGCTTACGGCGGTTTGGCTGAAAATTTGTTCGTTCGTCCTCTCCTGTAAATAGTCCAACTGAGAAAATAGGTTTCTTGCCGAAGGTCGGACGGAAGCCTCGTCTTTGTGAATAGCGCCAGGGGTCGCAACGCCCTTTCTTTTTCTTGCATTCTTGTTAAGCATGTTTTGTCGGTCCGATCTTCTTCAAGGGCTGGTCATAGGCTTATAATTAATCGGGAGAGTGCTCTTGTTTTTTTTTTTTTTTTTTTTGCTTTTCGTTTTTTTTTTTTTTTTCTCAAGGGGTAAGCCCCTAACATTATTGTATCCTTGTGTGATAGGCTCATGATTTGAACTCATGATCTGTTCATCAACAGCTACGTGTGTGTACCATTCAGCCACATGAGCTAGGTTGAAAGCCGTTTTCCTCTTCTTTTCCTGGCGAAAGCTCTCGGCGACAGTGCCACAAATGGAAATTGAGTTAATTTTTTTTCACGAAGAATTTGTATTGTGCCTGGACGACGTGGACGTGGAAAGGATGCAATCTTGTTTGTCATGGGCCATTCTCAAGCTGAGGTTCTTG